CCAGTATCTTGAGGCAAACTCAGACAGTCATAACAGGGTGGACCTTGATTTTGGATGAGAGTTTTAACAGTCTGGAATAAGGTTTCTGGAAAGAAGGCTCTGTCTTGTGTTGAGTTGAGCACGGCCCTGATAAATTATATTCTCTGAACTGAAGCAGGAGTTGACTTTCATTTATCAACAGGCTTAGCAATCAGAAGGTGCTTGGACCATGCTGATGCTATGATGTATGTTCAAGTAGACTTGAAAGCCTCACTGTCTGAGGAAGGCTGCTACTACTGCCATGCATGTTGTGAAGAGCTAGCAGCTACAGAGAGGTGGAATGGGAGAGCAGTGAATTGGTAGTGGCATTGGTTTACAATAAACCTGAGAAATCTTTTGCCGCCACGAAAGAAAGCAATGTGAGAGTAGATGTCCTTTAAGTCAAGGAGAGAGTACCAGTTTCCAGGATCCATGGAGAGAATGGTGTGGGCCAGGGAGACAACGCAGAATCTCAATTTCTTGAAATACCATTTGAGACAACGCAGGTCCAGAGTAGGCTGAAGGCCTGGCTTGGCCCTTTGGGATTAGACAATATTGGGAGTAAAACTGCTTCCTTCTCAAGTCTTTAGAAACCTCCAAGGCCCTGATCCACAGAAGGGACTGCACTTCCTGGTGGGGAGTTGCTTGTGAGAAGAGTCCCTGAAGAGGGACAGGCAAAAAGGTTGGAAGGAGGGATGATTGAAGGGTTTAGCTGATTGTCACTGTACATATGACCCAACAGTCCTATATTATACAGGACCATGATGGGCTGCAGTGGAACATCTAGTCCAAAAATAAAGGGGAAGCAGGATCTGAAGTGGTATAGCTTGGTATAGCTGACCCATGTGCATTTTCAAAAAAGGCCTGCATTGGCCCAGTGGGGCATTGATGTGATGTCAACTTGGAGGTTGAGATAAAATGGTGTCAACAGCTTCCTTCTAACTTAAAAAAAAAAAAAAAAAAAAAAAAGGACTACTGTTTTGGAGGTGGTTGTTGGGGCTTGAAGTGCTTCCTGGAAGTCCATGGAGAATAGAGGCTCAGGAATCTGAGTGTTGCCTTTGAAGTTTCATGTCTGTCTGCCCCAAGACTAATGAGAAGCCTTCAGAGGGAAAGTTCGGGATGGACTGTTGGACCTCCAGAGGAAGTCTTGAGCCAAGACCATAGCCTTGTGATGACAACAGAGACGTTCCTGCTACATCGGTCACCATTTTGAGAACACATTCTTATCTTTCAAGAGGGCAAAGAATTCCTGCCTTGAGTTCTGAGGCAGAGTGTCTTTCAACTTGGTTAAGGAGTCCCACAGATTGTAGTTGTAAAGCTTGCTGCTTAGAGATATGCAGTTGTAGGCTACCTTTCTTCTCAAATAGGCCCAGGTTTTTTGTGTCCGTTTGTTAAGGGATAGTGTGTCAGTCCCACCGTGTCCCTCTTGTTGACTGATGACACAACCATCCTGGAGGGGGAGCATAATTACTCATACCAATTTGCTGGCACAAAATATTTTTTCTGCCCCCTTGGGGGGGGACAGAAGGAAGTGAGTTTGCCATAGGGCCTTGACCAGACCCATTACAGCTTCATTAATGGTAAGGCCATTTTGGAGGGAGCCACTGCAGCCAGAATGCCAATAAAGATATGGGATGATTCCTTAAACTCCTCTGTCTCAAGCCCCAGAGGTCATGATGTCATCAAGTGGAAGCGAATTGGGGGGGGAGGAGGAGGCAGAGGATGGGGGAGCCAGCAGCAGCTTGTATCAAAGAAGGGGCTCCTTCTTCACTGAAGTCCATGGAAGCCACATCATCTTTCTCTATCCCTTTTTCTGCAAGGTCTAAAGTCCTGACAAAACTGGCACGAGTCCCTCACATGAGCTTCTCCCAGGAACTTCAAGTAGCTGGAGTGCAGGTCAGGGGGGGAGGAGGAGGCAGAGGATGGGGGAGCCAGCAGCAGCTTGTATCAAAGAAGGGGCTCCTTCTTCACTGAAGTCCATGGAAGCCACATCATCTTTCTCTATCCCTTTTTCTGCAAGGTCTAAAGTCCTGACAAAACTGGCACGAGTCCCTCACATGAGCTTCTCCCAGGAACTTCAAGTAGCTGGAGTGCAGGTCACACCCAAGCAGAAGTTTGCCACAGGAAGCACAAGGCTTGAAGCTCGGTACATACCCATCCCCGGCAGCAAAGAGTACCTCAATCATGGAGGCTATTTACCCTTTTATTAACTAACAAATTATGAATCACAGTCCAAAAATCAGAGAAAAAGCCTCACTGAAGAGGGGGCATTCGAACAACTGTCTTGGGTGGCAAGAAGAAACTGAGAGGACACGCGGTACAATGGATACCACAGAGGAAAAAGGTCTCTTACAATAGTACATGCATCCCTAATGTGGAATCAAAATGAGCAGGCACTCAAAAAAAGAAATCAGTTACACCTGCTCCTGGTGTCAATTTGGGCACCTATAAAAGAATCCCACTGTGGTCACTAGTGACTTGCCCAAAATTACACAAAAATTCCCTGGCAAAGACAGAATGCAGTGCTCCAGTGTAGCATTCAAATGGCCATCCTGCCTCATTAATTTGCTCTCTGCCTCACTACATACCTTCCACATAAGGTGGAAGAAAACAGGCTCATTCACTATACAACCCTATTTCATTCCCTGAGCATGGTTCATCCAGTGCACTAAATGAGGCAAGCACCTGTGTAAAGATAGCATAATACATATACCGTTTGGATTAAGACCAGCTTGAGGTCAGGGGACTGAATTAAGATAGCACAGACATGTTTGAGTTTGGCATTACTTTATTTTTGAGTAAATCTTTCCTTAATTTTTTAGAAAAATGGTATTTCTCAAGTTCTTAACATACGCTGAAAAAAATGCATTATGTGGAATAATTTGAAAGGTTCAGGTCCACAGCACAGATCTCTACCCATTGAATAAAATGGCAGTAGTATGCTATTATATCCTCCATGCAGACCAACATTACCGTAATTTTTGACAATGGATTTCACAGCTATTTCTAGACAGCAAAGAAATATTCACTCTAGAAAAGACAGTTACCTCTTCTGTAACTGGTGTTCTTTGAGATGTATTGCTCATGTCCATTCTACATGGGTGTGTGCACCTGCCACATGTACCAGTGCTGGAATATTTTCCCTAAGCACCAGCGTCCCTTGGAGTGGCGCACACACACTGCACTATATAGGGCACCCCCAGGGCCCTCTCTCCTCAGTTCCTTCTTGCTGGAACTCTGACAGAGGGGATGTGGGTGGGAGGTTGGATGGACATGTGTTGCTCATCTCCAAGAACACCAGTTAAAGAACAAATGACTGTCTTTTCTTCTCAAGTGCTTGCTCATGTCCATTCAATACAAGTGACTGTAAGCAGTGTCTGCTGAGATGGATAGGAGTTACGGGAATGCAGACTGCAGTACAGTCCTGCCAAACATGGCATCCTCCCTGGCCTGCTGTGTGATAGCATAATAGGACATGTGTGCAAATGGAGTGCCTGTAGTACTGGATGAGGTCCAGCCAGAGCCCAAGTCAAAGGCTGTCCCATCAGTGCCAGGCCCATCAGCACGGCTAACAGAGGCAGAAAGCCCTTTGGCACTGTAGTCTTCGGTGCAGGTTGTCATTCCGCATGGCACAGGTGGGACAGTGCCAGGTCCAGTGAAGCTATGAGCTCATTAAGCTCCTGGGCTTCAACAAATATGTCCGAGGTCGAGGGTTCGTGGACCTCCTCCAAAGACAAGTACTGGACTTCTGGACTACTGGCCCATGCAGACCTCAACCTATGCCTACACAGCGTGGGAGCAACATTATGTGAGGGTGGGTCCAGAGCTTTCTGGTGTCCCACTTGTGGACACATCTATTGTGCCTTTCTTGATAGCGACCTTCTTCTCTCTGTCTTCTTTGATCTTGGTGCTGGGGGCTGGGTCTGGTGCCGCAGATCGGCCCAACACCGCTGAATGTCATAGCACCGGTCTCACACACGGATGCCAGTGAGCTTCTTACAAACAATGCAGGGCCTGGTGCCATGGTTTGGAGCGCCGATTTCATGAGGAGCAACCTCAACCTCAAGTCACACTCCTGCTTTGTCTTAGGCTTGAAGGACTGACAGATTTTACAAGAGTCAAATGTCCCTCTCCTAGACACATAAGGCACTAACAGTAACCTACTAATTATTTAAAAGATTGAACTATTTCCAAACAAAAAGGTAAAAAATTCTAAGGGCACAAGGAGCAAGCCCAGCATTCCAGCAACCTTCACAAGTTGTAAGAAGGAACTGACGGGGGTGGAGGCCAGCAGGGATAAATATGTGCTGTTATAGTGGTGCTACTGCTGGGGTCTCCCTTGCTGGCCCAATGGGTACTGCTAAGGTTAAAAAGCATCCAGAACATGGGCATGTGATGCGCACACACCGAGATGGAATTGACATAAGCAAGCACTCAAAGAAGTTATAACTTAGAAAAATCTGGGAGGATTTTCATAGGGACAGAAAGATGTTTCTGATGCCAGAGTAAACTCCTCCACTCATAAAGGTCCAAGACTCTGCTTCAATGCACAATAACTTCAATGCAGTGGTTGTAAGAATTAGACATGATATGGGCAAAAAAAAATGAATTTTCCTTTAATGTCATTAGATACAGCCATTTCAAAAAGGTGGTTTTTTTTTTGAAAGTTCCATATAAAGTTAGACTGAGGCAGACTCCCACATTTGAAAGGTTCAGCCCAAAGAGTTGTAGGCAACTTCAATGTTAAGTATTGCAACATTAACAATTGGTAATTACCATAGAATTTTATTTAATCAGTGAAGCACTTTGATGTATAGAAGTCCCCTTTAAAAAGACAACTTAATATGTTAGAAAACAGCACAATTTTGCAGATGTACAATCATTCCAACAGACCACCCTTTAAGATTTGTAGTTAGCCTTGTAGAATACCTATCTAAAGTAAACCTTTGGGATGACACATGGCATGGTGAAGACCCAAGAAATGCTAGACAATAGGAATTTAATTATTTTATTTACAATTTTTAAGATATGCAAGTTGCAAGAATAGTTTCATTTCAACATAAATAATATAGAGGTTCATTATATGATATACGCGTTCATACATGCAAATACTACAGACATCTCTAAGGTGAAAGACCACACAGTATTACAACTATAAACACTCATCGAGTGCTTACAGCAACCTAAACCCTGCAAACATAACCACTCATGAGAATCCTATTTAAAATCAGTGGGACTCTAGCTGGTTTACAGTGATCCACGTGGAACAATTCCTTTTCAGGATAGGGGCCATTATTTTGGCTATGCACGAGTTAGAATTCCTCACTCTACTGTTTTAAACAATCAACATTCTGTATTTGTACAAGGATGTTTTGCAGAGGATTTAAAAAATGTTTTATTAACCTGAATCCTCGTAACAAACCTGTGAGGCAAGTATTATCATTCCCATTTTTGCAGATAGAGAAACTGAGGCATGGAGAGATTAAGAGACTTGCCCAGGGTCTCAGAGCTTGTCAGTGGCAGAGCCAGATTTTCTCCAACCACATACTGTTCCATGTTCTTTCCAAATCGACAATGCTCCCTCTATCAGGTAATACCATTAAAATAGAACACATTTATAAGAAACGTACATATATAAAGTTACAGCACAGTAGACTGGCAAAAAATTAACTTCCTTAGTTACAGTATTTCCAAAACTTTTGTAATGTAACATTTTTCTGAAAAACAGCTGATGGTATCTATAACATTTTTGGTAGAATGGTAAAAAGATATATATTTTAAAAAAACACTACAGCAACATACTATTCAGGACTCCTGAATAGTAATATCTTTAAGTTTCTGTTAATAAGCAATATGTTTTAGTATAATTTTTACAATACTGAATTATCATCAAGCACTATGGTCATCCATATTGTATGTTATTGTAAAACAGATTACAATTCCTCAAAATCTTGTAGTACAGTGCCAATAACTGAACTCAAGTCAACCCAATGAAGACCAATTTACTAAATATAACAGTCAAAATTTATTTGCTATTTAAAGGTTTTTTTTTTAAATAAAAATGTATCATGCTTAAATAACTTAAGACTAAAAATGCTACATAATACATTTAATATTGCTAACATTGTAATTGCCTGAGTTACACTTTTTCAGTATTCATATCTGCTAAATGATCATTTTGATTAAGACAAGTACAATTGATTTCAGGCTTATTCATGTCTCCATTTTCAAAATTTATAATGAAGTGACTCACTCCAGTATTAGGGCTCACAGAAGATAATTGAGACTTTTTTAAAGTTGATGGTAAAGTGCACTTTAGATCCAAAACAAAATAACCAAACCAGTTTCTCATGTATGCCCCATGACTCACTACTAATATATTAGCATTCAACATTTTTCCAGCTCTGTCAGTATCAGAATTAAGTTCAATTCCACTGCAGTGATTTCTCAAAGGGAAAACTGGTCTTCCTTCTAGTGTTTCCAAGCCATTGCCCACCATATCCTGAACAGCTTGTTCTTTCTGATACTCTTCAATAGAAAGTTGACACAGAAATTCAAAGAAATCTTTTGCACGTGCCCTTACCTAAAAGGTGTTAGGAAAAAGGAATATATTTGTAATGACTATAACAACTCTGTCCAGTGAACTGACTGGTTGCTGTTTACTGGCTTTTATAATTTCGCTGTCAATTGTTTTACAAAATATATAAGTTACCTAAGTTTTCTAGTCTGTTTTCTGAGTTAAGCAGGTGCATCAGACAAAGGTAAATGAGCTTCCACAAGGCAGTTACAATAGCATGTCAAAATACTAAATGTGGAGATGATTTTTAGTTCTCAGCCCTTGAAATCCAAGGAGGCTGACAGTGAAAGTAATTTCTCATTTTCATGAAGGTAACAGACTGATTTATCATAGCTATCTTCCCACTAATTTTAGATTTAGGGGGGGAAAAATCTCAAATCAGCTGCCACTTCCACGGGTCTATTTGTTTCAGATTGGATGATTTCAGGATAATATAACACTCTCCACCTCCCCTGGATTGAATAGGATAAAAAAAATTGGATTTCACACTCACACAGCGCCAATCCCAGTGTATATACACAAAAGATACCAAATCCAAAGTCAATTTTGAGGTCTACAGGTTTCTGTGCTGATCACTTGAGATACAAAGTTTTTAAATTCACAGATAACCAACTGACAGCTATTGGTATATTTATTTGTAATCATGCTAAGAGTAAAGAAAAATAGAAGGACAATATTTAAATCCATCCTATTAAAAGGGAACACAGAATGGAACTACAAAAGTATTCCTTCATTAACGATATAGAAGCATCTGCACTATTTTTTATAGAGGAAATGCGTAAGGTAAAAAACAAGTGGTAATACCATACCTCATCTAGTGTTTCTCCTCCAGATGGTGTAAACAAAGGACATTGCTCTCCAGCAGCTTTTGCCATTGCCTTGAGATCATTCAATGGCCTTCCTTCAGCAATCCCATATTTCTAGAAAAGACCATTAATAGAAGAGGATTTACTGAATAGTAAGAAAAAGTCCATCATACAAATTCAAACTCATACTTCATTTAAAGATTCAGTTCCTGTTTCCCTTTTAGAATAGGCAATAGATTTAACAGCACTCACCTCCCACCAAGAAGCTGAAGTGATATATAAATATACAATTTCACTTAGTTAGTTCCTCCATGCAAGTCATTTTAAAGTAATCATGCATTTCTAATTTAATGGAAGAGCCAGAATTAGAAACATTAGCATCGACTTGATATTTATCTTGGGCTGTTCTTGGCCTATGTGCCATCATTGTTCTATCATTCCTGATACACAAAATTCAATGAAGGATATGTTCATAACCTAAGCCTTCAAAATCCAAACAGAAAGCACTGGGATTCTGAATTGGCTAAGCAGAGGCATAGCGAGGGTATTATGCACCCGGGGGCAAAGGAAAAATTTGCGGCCCCTCTCCCCACCCCCCGCTATGTGGCACGGCCCCGAACCTGGTGCACAGCTGAGGGGAACTTGTACCGCATCTTCCCCCATCCCCTACAATTTGGGGCCAGGCTCCCGTATACACTAACCCACCAATGGAGATGGAGGAGGGTCGTGCTTGGAGCAGAGAGGCAGGGAGGAGGCTCCAGCTGCCGGTGGCAGGCGGAGTAGAAGCATGTGAGCTGAGGGATAATGGGGGGAGCAGAATGGGATTAAATTGTTGCCTCCCTAGCATGGTGCCCATGGGCAACTGACTTCTCCAGCCCCCTCACTACACCACTGCCTCCCCTCTTGTAGGTCTATCATCTTATGCATGTGCAAGATTTGTGAGAGCCGTCCCATGAATCTGCAGTAAGTGTCTGTGGTGCCTGCTTCTGGGTGGTGTCTCAATGCTGCCACATTCACCTCCAAAGAGGGGGCTTCCCAAAGCAGGCTCTTGCTGCTGACCCCCAAGGCATCCACAGGTTCAGTCTCCTTTCAATGGGCCCACTTCCCAGGGCTCATTGATCTTGGATCTGGCTTCCATCACCTCTCCAACCTTTGCATTTGCCCAGAGGTGCTCACCTTCCACCTTATACATTCCCACCTCATACACCCCACTGGGACAGTCTCTGCCTCACTTGACCTAGGAACTATTCTACCAAGACGTAATACAAAGTTTCCATGTAAAAGGACTCAATACAAAGCTAAAAACTTCAATGAAAGAATGATTAATACAGAGACGTGTATTATCTGCTGCAGGGAGACACCTCTGCCTGCCTCTACCCCTCTCCTCCAGAGTCTACAGCCCCATTGCAAAGTGTGGGAGGGGAAGGAAAGAGGCTGAGGCCCATCCAATGGGCGCCACATTTCAGGAAATGTGGAGAAACTGGAGAAAGTCCAGAGAAGATCAACATAATGATGAAAGGTCTACAGAACATGAGCTATGAGGCAAGGCTGAAGGAATTGGCCTTGTTTACCTTGGAAAAGAGAAGACTGAAAAGGGACATGAGAGCAGCTTTCAATTATCTAAAAGAGTATCATAATGAGGAGGAAGAAAAATTGTTCTCCTTGGCCTCTGAGGTTAGGATGAGAAGCAATGAGCTTAAATTGCAGCAAGGGAGGTTTAGGTTGGACATTAGGAAAAACTTCCTGCCTGTCAGGGTGGTTAAACACTAGAATAAATTGCCTAGGGAAATTGCGGAATCTCCATCACTGGAGATATTTAAGACCAGGTTAGACAGACACCTGTCAGGGATGAGCTAGGGCAACTCAACTTTGGAAGCCCCAGGGGCCACACTGATACTTACAGAACATGCTGACGGCCTCAACTTAAGTGTGGTTGCATATGCAAGCAAATATATACAAATAGCTTCTCTCACACTGTCAGGCATGAATACAAAGATTAAGGCAAGACTACACAACACACAAGCCCCATTTAAGTCAGTTCTGCTGATATTAATAAAATGCAACATTTACCTGATTTCTACCCATGTGACAGCACTTTTCATGAGCAGTGACAGTTCAAGAATTTAACTACTAAAACGCATATCAACAGAAGATCATTACACTGACTACTTTTTTGTTTTGGCTCCCACTCGCCAGCCACGTGTTGATTCCTACATAAACCCAAACTCCACCGCGGGGAGCAAACAAACTGGTAGTGGGCAGCATACCAAGTTAATAAATATTTTATAAACCTTTACCTTTTATCTCTACTGCCATGTCTTCTCCCCTTGCTCCATCAGCTCCCCTGGTGCCTGCTGCCCCCCAACTCCTCACCCTCCTCTGCTGTCCTGACTCCTGCCCTTCTCACTGCCCTCAGCCCTCCTGCAACCTGCCCCCCTCCACCAGCCCTGCTCTCCCCCCTGTGCCTCCTCCTCCAGTAGCCCCGCTCTGATCATGTGAGCTACCCCTCCTCATTCCCACTCCTAACACCTCCCTCTACATACCTGCCCTGCCTCTCTCCTCTGGTGCTGGTCCCTCCCCTGCAGGTGTCTGCCCTTCTGCTTCATCCCAGAATCCCCTGGTACCTGCATCTTCCCTTAGCCCTGTACCCTCCTGGTGTCTTCCCCTTCCCTCACTGCCCCTGCCCCCTTTGCCCCTGTTGCCCACCCCCTCACCACTCTCTGCCCCCATTCCCCTCTGTGCCCTCACACGTGACTTGCTCCATCCCCACCCCTTCTTTCAAGCCTTCTCCCAGCACCTCTGCCTCCCCCCTCCACACTCCAATGCCCTTACCCTATCTTCCAATCACCCTGTCCCCCCTCCCACTGACACCTCCTCTCCTGCCCTTTTCCTCATTGTCTCCACTTGGCCTCCTGGCATTTGTCTCTCCTCCAGGCTGTCACTTGGTGCCTTCCTCTCCCATCCCTTCCCCCTAGTTTTCCCCTTGCCGTGCCCTACCCTGCCGTACCTTCTGCCTTCCACTTTGCAAGGCCGGAGTCTGCGCTCAAGCCCCGGAAGTCTCCGGACTCCGAACTGGAAGCTAGGCCACGGATCGCAACGCCGTGTCGTGCAGTTTTAAAGTCCAGGGCCGTGATGTCACGTCACGCCTGGGCGTCTCCCCGGTCACTTGGAAACACTGCTCATGGTGGCGGCAGCAGCTGGCAGCGTGCACCGGCAAGGGGGAGCCGACTTAACGCTGCACATGGCAGGGACGGTCCGGGGCCAGGCGGGATGCCCCTATAACTCGCTGCCCATGCCAGGTGAGCCTGCACAGCATGCGCTTGCTCTCACCCCAGCCCAGCACCCCCTTAGAGTAGTGCCCGGGGGCAATTGCTCCCCTCCGCCCCTCCTTCGCTACGTCTCTGTGGCTAAGTGATCGTCAACATACAGGAACATTTTCAAAAATGCAAACAGGAAACAATCACCCAACTGTCCTCTGTGGCTTTAAAATCTTTGCTACAATTTACAGAACAAAAATCTATTTGGAAAACTGATTGTTGAGATTTTTCTAAATACAAGCACTCTGGCTATTAAAAATACTCTTGGAACTCCCAAAATGGCTGTATTTCAGAGTTATGGACAAGTCAGTTTGTGGTTTTTCTTTAAGATAGGAAAAATAAGAACGTTAATATATAATTGTTAGTTCTCTGACCCCAAGAATTTGTAATCATATGTTAATGATAATGATTTGGCTGAGATTGTGTAAGTGTGAAATGCTAAATTCACCGCAGAAAATAAAGATAGAATTCCAAGCACATAACCCCTAGTTTTACAGTGAAACAGACCAAATGTCACATTAAGTAATTTTTATATTTTAGCAGATGTTACATACAAACATTCAGTTTATAATGCACACTGTACTATGCACCTTATATTTATACTGCATCTTTCATCCTGAAGGTCTTTATAATAGGAATGTTAAATTTAGTTTAATCAACTAGTCGATGGATTTTCCATCAACTAGTTGATTAGTTGATAAGCAGGGAGCTGCAGCCGGTTTCTCCACCAGCCCAGGAGCTAACCTGGCTGCACCTATGCTTTTTAAATATATGAAGAGCCTGTTGACTCTTAATACATTTAAAAGGCTGGCGAGCAGCAAGGGGACCCAGCACGAGCTGGTTCAGCTGATTCTCGGCTCACACAGGGTCACCCCTGGAATTCTCTGGTCCGGCAACACCACAGATATTCCTGGATCAGAGAACCCCAGTAACGTAGTGGTAGGAGGGCAATCCAGGAGGGGCTGGGCTGAAGCAGTGGGACGGGCCAGGGGCTGGAGCCGGCAACCTGCAGCACTGGGACCAGGTCAGAGTAGTCCTCGACATCGCAGGATCGGGCCAGCAACAGCCCATGGCAGCGCGGGGCTAAGGCCAGGGCCAGAGCCCCGGGCAGTTCATGGAAGTGGGGCCAGAGCCTGGAGGCTGCCGGGGGGCAAGAGCCTGCGCTCTTGGCAGCCCATGGTAGCAGGACTGGGCTCGGGGGCTGGCAGCAACCCTAGCAGCCCATAGCAGCGTGGGGTCAGAGAGCCTCAGACAGCCCACAGAAGGGGCTGCTATCCCTGCGGAAACCTGGCAGGGAGATGGTAGCTCTGCCCACCCTCTCCTCCACTCCAGGAGCTGGGAGAGTTGGCAGCTGGGGGCTACGGCAGGGAATCTTCTCTGGTCTTCCCTGGTTCGGGACCAGTCAGGTCCTGAGGGTGCCAGGTAAGAGATGTCCAACCTATATAAGTTAAACTCAAATTCTGTCCTAGATGACTGCAGAAAGCACTGAAGCAAATGAAAGCTAATGGCAGAAGAGCAACTTTCACAGCTAATGAGAAATTTAAAATACTGGTATAAGTAGAAAGTTACATTTACAAATTTAAAGACAGGAACTTGTAATTTGGCACTTACCCTCTCCCGAAGTCTTGCATCATACTGTATTACAATATCTTTGCAAAACTTATTCTTTTCTATAATTGTGGATGCAGTCTGAAAAAATAGATGCATAAAGTCATATGAAAACTCCACATTTACGAATCTTTAACACTGTTTCCTCAACTTTCCCACTAAATGACTACAGCTTCCTCTCGAATCAAAACAAACAGGGCTATATTCTGGTTCTCCAATCTCCAAAGACATCTCGTCTACAAAATTGGTAAAATGGAGCATTTAGAATGAGGCCTACTGATCAAAGAGTAAAGCGGAAAAAGTAGTCTCTTTTTACAACTCGAACTATATCCCATATCTTCTTCCCACTTTTAGCTACACCTCACTGTCTGGTCTTCTAGATAGAAGACATATTCCTAGGAAGATAAAAATTAAAAAAAAAAAAAAAGATGGTTCAAATGTTTTTCCTAAAACAATTAAATCGGGGCGAAGAACTTTTTTGGGTCGGGGGTGGCTGACCTACGGAAAGAATCAGTATCAGGCCCCGGACAAGTGAGAAGCCAAAAAGCCACAAAAACAAAACCCCAAATCCTCACTAACATGGCTGTGACTGAGAAGGAAACAGACACTCCCCACGTTCCCCTCACACACCAGAGCCTAGTAGGGCTCCAGTCTCTCAAAAGGCACAGGCTCCCCAATGCTAAGAGGGGAGCTCTAAGCCTTGGGGACCGCATGCAGGCAAGCCGGAGACCAATCTGTGCAGTGGCATTTCAAAGGGGCAGTGCTGAACAGAGACCGGGATCAGCTGTGCAGCGCTGCCCCTTTGAAATGCCACAGAGGTATTCCAAAGTGGCAGCACCATGTGGAGCCCCAGGTCAGCTGGGTTCCAAGCTGCTTTGAAATGCCGGGTGGAGCCCGGGATTAGCTAGGGACTCAGAGTCCCGTGCTGGCCCCAGGCTCCATGCTGCATTTCCTCTTTGAAATGTACAAGAGCCCCAGCTGACCCGGGCCTCCACACAGTGCTGCCGCTTTGAAACGCGCTGGGCTCCACACAACCCTGGGCTCCAGGCAGTATTCCAATTTAGAAATGCACAAGAGTCCCTGCCGGGGCTCTTGTATATTTCAAAGGCAGAATGCAGAAGTGCCTATCAACTAGTCGATGGAAATTCCATCAACTGCTCGACTAGTAAATTAATCGCTAGTTAACATCCCAACCCTGCAGCTCCGTGAATACCAACTAATATCCATGAGCTTCAGGGTATAGCCGAGTTAGACTGTTACAGAAAAAAACAACAAACAGTCTCGTAGCACTTTATAGACTAACGAAGCATGTTTCGTTAGTCTATAAAGTGCTACCCGACCATTTGTTGTTTTTAACTAATATCCATGGATATAAATTTTGTATCCTTACATGGGTCTAAGGACACTTTAGAAAGTTATAAAGTGAATTTTGTTGGGTATTGCTATCTTAATACCTTCAAATGATCTAGGTAATGTATATTTTTACTTTTCTGTTTTCTGCTTCTGGCCTCTCTTCTTTCACCATTTTGTTAATATGCTGAATATCCTTTATTAACTATTTTAGTAAAAATGGAAGAGTAATTATTAAGCTAAAATTCCAATGTAGATTAGAAGTGATTTAAGTGTGTAAAGAATATTTTTGAATCAAGAAAAAAAAAAACTTGAAAGCATTCTAATACATTGGCAGCCCATTGTCCATGGACTTTTTGCATATGGTGTGTGTCAGTTAATAAAAAACATTATGGTTTACTATTTGCAATGTCAGCTGTTGGCCTTCTTATAAAAAGAGATTTTCTTACAACATCCACCATCCTCGCAATCAGATTCTCTAGAGCTCTCTAACACCACTGTCTGAGAGGAACTTATGTAGTCATATTCCAAATGAATGTTGAAAAATACCTTAGACCCCAATATATAATGTCCAGTGAAGATGCAAGTCATGGCTGATGTATTTTAACTATTTCTTTTAAGCTTCCTTCAGTCTTTAGAGAAAAACTTACCTTCTATATCAAGTATTTTAGTTCCACACTTATCCCCTTCTTCAAAATTGTCACTGAATTATTTTCCCTCAGTTTCCTCAAAATAAAGAGCCCAACATTCAGAGATTTATATTTACTTTCAATTGCCTGAAAATGTACTTGCCTGCTTTGCTCGAAGGAGATCACTTGAGAAGACATGAGTAAACTTTACATTACTGAGAAATATACCAGCAGCACCTGCTTGTCTGAAACCAGTTGCAGAGAGGGGCTCATCCACACCTTGTCCTAGAAAATAAAAATTTCCCAGACAATTTAACATTTGAATTTTACTTAACTTATTATTAATTACATGTAATGCAGTAGCATTCAGTGAATCCAGTTAGGATCAGGGTGACGTGCAAACATGAAAAATAATCCCTGTCCAATTTCCAATTGACTAAAACTCAGAATTCAATCATGCAATCTAAATGAGGAAACAACAACAACAACAACTACGACAACTCTAGGAACACAATGAATAAAGTGATTAAGTGATTATTGGTACCATATTTAAATCATACAACTAAAAGTTAGCTTGTATCAAAATTAACATGTATGCAGTAGAAAACAGTTACCTACCTCTCATAACTTCCTCAAGATATGGTGCTTATGTCCATTCTGAATAGATGTGTGCACACTGCATGCACAGTTGTCGAAAGGTTTTCCCTTAGCAGTATCTGTCAGTCAGCTGTGGAGCCTCCTGGAGTGGCACCATTATGTTGCTGTCTATAGTCCACTCCCAACCCTCCCCCTGCTCAGTTCATTCTTGCTGGAGAAACTCTGACAGAGGGAAAGCGGGAGTGTCTTGGAATGGACATCAGCAACACATCTCGAAGAACAGTTTTGTCTTCAAGTGATTGCTTTTGTCAATTCCAAGTAGGTGATTCCCAAGCAGTTATCTGGTGAACAGGTCGGGGATTCCTAATTTGCAGACTGAAGTATTGCTCTTCCAAAGACAGCATCATCTCTGGAGTGTTGACAAATGGTGTAGTGAGAAAGGTATGGTCCAAAGACCAAGTATCTGCTCTGCAAATGTCCTGAATAGAACATGTACAATAAGTGCCATGGATGTGGCCTGTGCTCATGAAGAAGTTCCTTAAAATTCCCTAACGAATTTTCCCTAACGAATGTGCAGGAATTAAAATTATAGTGGCTAAGAACCACCTGCTGATTTGATATTTTAGCTGAAGCACCCACTGTCAAATAGAGGTTCATTTTCTTCACTTTCTTTGACTTAGGGGTGGACCTTGCTTCCCCTGCCTCTCCTAAGCCTTTGCCATACAGACCACCAAAGTACCCAGCTGAGGATGAGCCTACTGTGTATAGTCAGTCATACCCCTTTGCAGTGAGTGGAGTGGAAGCAGGGATTTGCCACAAGGTCTTTATGGTGTTCGACGGGATACCCTTGGGGAAGGAGAGCCTCAAGCTGCATTGGGGGAAGCAGGGCACTGGCCAGGTTAACTGCCTCTCTGGATTGCACCGCAGTGCTAGATTATGTACCGGTGCTGGTGCCAAGCACCAATTACAGTTCCTGTGTCTGAAGCCATCCTAGGGGTCACGTGAGGACAGACTGCACTCTGAGCACGGTGCGGGCTGAGTATAGATATACTTTTCGGCACCCCTCTTGGGTTCCTTAGCCATAGAAGCTGATGGTGGTCCTTTTCTCCCTGACACCAGTGAAACCTATCTGGAACTAGGCTCTTGGGCTTGATGATATGCCCAGGACATCCAGAAGGGCCATCGTGGAGGTGTCTGCCATTGTGGTGCCAAATGCTGGGCAGACAGCTGGCAGCATTTGTCCCTGTGGTGATCCCTGGACTGGTTGTCAACTTGCCATGGATGCATAGGATTCAGGCTCTGAATCCAAAGTTAATTCTAGTCTTGAGGACCATGAGGAACTGTCCCAGATGGTGCAAGTGACCGATGATCAGGGGAACGGTCCCCGGAGGAGCCATCCTATGGAGGTTCGGCGCCGTGGGAAATGGTCCTGGGAGGCATGGTGCCGGGATGAAGGGGAACAATGCATCACAGCTGACTTGTCTCTAGATGGTACCAGGAGACTTGCAGAGGATGGTCCTGGTTGTTGCTCCAGTGATACCCTCGGGGAAGGAGAGCATGGGCCATCAGTTCAAGATCCCTGGCTGCTTCATACATTTCAGGAGTGGACAGCATGTCCAAGTTGCCCATTTTACTGTCCCATGCAGGGGAATCTACAGGTACTGGCATCACAGCAAGGAGTGCCCATCGAGTCCAATACCTGCTGGTACCTGACATATTCATTTATTTTAATTTGGTCCCAGACCTGGAAAGACTATAATATCACCTAACATCCTCGACATTATCATCTATATTTCACACTTAGACATTTTGGAGGCATATGAACTCTACTGCACTCTCATCAGTTGAAAATTGGTGTAAGTTTCAAGGCATAACCCTAACCCAAAAGATAGGTCTCTTACCATACACATTATCTGGTATAAACAAACAATCGACAAGTTAACTTGGATGTACTGATCAGATTTGACTGATTTAAATAAGTGTGATTTATATCAGAGTTTATTCATGATTCAAAATAAGCACAGAACTTTATTTAAATTGAGGATTTTAATCTTGGATTTATATTTGTATTTTATTTTCCTAATGCTGATTCCCATTGATTGATCACCATGAGATCACGTTGATTCGCTACTCAATATAGCCTTTACATTAAGTTTAATACTTTTTGCTAACCAAAAGACTACACTGTATCTATACCCATTTATTTAAGTAATTATATAGCTTAAAATATATTCAGATGCTTAATTTATAAATTCATTTTCTTATGCTGGAAAATAGTGAATGACATTTACTAGATTTTTTTTTTAATTCATGTTTTGCCTCAACCTGCATCTTGGTATAAACTGGAATTTAATTAAAATGCATAAAAACAGCTTTTTGTTTCAGTTAACTCTCCTTAAGCATGCTGTATAAATATAAAATAAGTTGATCAAAACAGGTTTTGCAGTTGAATGACATGATTTAACTAAACAAACGATATATTATCTGTAGCTAGTGAAAATGAACTGATTGTTTCTGATCACCACGCTATTTAATTTTTTTTTAAAAAAGTAGAGCTCATCCGCTCACACCTCATTTTTGTTCATAGACTGGGAGAGGAAAACAAGCATTTCTGTTTGTTCAACTTCCAGTTTCTTAGCTTTGAAGGAAATAAGTAACTTAATTGATCTAAATAAACCAAAAAGAAAATATTCTTGTGCACCTGCAACATAAACTACTATGGTCAAAAGCTTGTTTAGCATTCCAACAGTCTGATTACAGATGCTTACCCAGTTACTTCCACTAATTCAGTGGTTAACTTCTTTTAAAACTTGGATTCCAAACACATACTGATTGTATTTTTTTAAAATTTGGCATATATTAAAATAATTTAAGTTATGCTTAGGCCTTAATATAGATGGTCATACTTTCAATTTTAATTATGTTTATTTTTTAAAAGAAATGTACTTAAATAAATTTAATTTAAATCATCCATTTTTATCCGTCTTTGTATCTGTAACATTTCATAGGCATATGTAATTTTTTTAATCTAACAATCTAATAGTCATAGCAAGATTGACACTTACCTTGAAGTATCTTGTCTTTGTTGTATCTTGTTTCTCCACTGAAAGATAGAAATATGTCAAACAAAGAACACCTTTGTCTAAAAACAGTGTTAGTCAAATTTAAAAATACATAGATACTGCATCAGGACCACATTGCTGAAAAGTACATCTTTTTCAGTAATATATACTTAAAGCTCTCAGTAACACTTCAGAAACTTTTTAAAATAATTAGTTCCAATTACTCCCTCTGTGTTCATTAAGTAGAAGCCTCTTTGGAATCAAGGTAAATGTAGTTGCTTACTTTCATAGTCAATTCAGCGCCGTTTAGTTATTTGTTAAAACCTTTACCACATTTTAAGTTCTTCCTACCTCCATCCCAAAATGGGCATTTTATGGAAATTGCATAGCGTACCACTCTAATTTTTTCAACAGACTCCTATGCCTGTGGAAGTAAGCCTACATAAAACATAATAAATTAAGCAACCACTAAACTGAGAAGTATAAAACCAAAGATGGAAACAAATTTAAGTGAGATAAAAGGTAGAGTGACATAATTAGGATACACATTAAAATTAATCCAGAATAAGTCAAAGTGTGAATCTGAAGCAAATGTATGAATCCTCTTATTCCAATTCTGATAATATCATCATTTTCCCAATAGCGGAACAGAAAGAAACGTGTTTTCGCCACACACACTCACACTCTCTCTCTGCGTAAAGCTTTCAGTATTCTCTAGATAATCTTGTTTGGGCATGAAATCTTAGTGGTTAAACAACTATTCGAAAGTTCCTGGGGGTGGGGTTGGCAGACAGAGTGCTCTGGCCCCACTCCCAAGGAACCCCCTGCCACCCTGCACTGCTGCCTCTATATCAGAGTCAGCAACACAGGGTGGCAGGTAGAGCTGGTTTGCAAGGGGAGCCAGTTTAAAAACCAGCTCCCCACCCAGACCAGCTGCCTGCTGCCCTGTGCTGCTGCCTCTGATACAGAGACAGCAGCATAGGGTGGCAGCAGCCCGTCCAGGGAGGGAGGGGGGGTCCAAGCTCTTCACGGACAGAGGCTGCTCCATGGGATGCAGGGGCAGCCTCTGTCCGCAAGGAGCTGGGCAAAGGCTTTTGCTGCCCCACACTGCTTCCTCTGCATCAAAACCAGCTCCCCACGTGGACTGATTCCTGCCTGCCACCACATGCTTGTACCTCTGTATCAGAGGCAGAAGCGTAGGGTGCCAGGGGACTCCGGGGGAGTGGGGCTAAGAGAACACTGGCTGGTGGCTCCAGCTCTGGCCCCACCCCCAGGAACCATTGAATAATTGTGTAACCACTAAGATTTGGTGCACTTACATGATTATTAAATTAAACAATATCTAACATCCCTTCTCCTCCTGTCAGCCTTGCCCCCTGCCTGCTTGCCCCATGCCTCTGTAGGAGGCAGCAAGCGAGGGGGAAGGTGGTCTATCGACTCACGCACATAGGCTCCAACCTATCCCCTCACCCTCTACACTGTTGCCTACAGAGGCAACAAGAAGGGGAGGGGGAGCTGGTGCCCGTGAGGAATAGGGATGTGAACTATGAGTTACTGTATTAGTTGTGTACTCGATGGAATTTCATTCGACTACTTGACTAGTCGATAAGCATTTCTGCACTCCTCCTCTGAAATGTACAAGAGCTCCCCATCGGGCAGATAGCTGGTCATATGAGGAGAAATAGCCAGCCTTAATAATGCACACATACTTTCCATATAAAACAATTGCTTTAAGTGCCACAGAATTTGTGTGATTTTAAATAGGAGGAGCACTCCCCACCACAGCATATATAGTAAGACTAACAAGCAGACAGCGAGGATGGGATTTTTCAAACATGCTCAAAAATCAACCAACATCTGCTCCCATCAAAATCAATATGAGCAAAAGTAGATCAATGCACAGATCTTGAAATCTTGTGGTACTTGCTAAAGAGAAAAGTGGTTTCATCCTCATATATTTTCCTACTGACCAAAAAGAGAAGACTGCAGCTAGATTACCAAATCAGTGCATTTAGATTTTTAAATGAGAACAGGAATATTTCTAACCAGAGGGAAATAATTAAAATCCACATTTGGGCCACACTGTGCAAGCATTAAACAAAGATTATTTTTTCCAATATTTACAAATATTTTATTTGACAATAGCCTTTTAACATCTGAATCAGGGATATGGAGATGAAATGTGATTTTGGTTTCTCCATGCCCACACTAGACAGTACACTATTCATATTATCAAGTCTTTTCACAGAGATCCACTATGACTGAAATAAAAAGCTAAGGCTATATGTTTTGAAGAAATCAATGATGTCAGTGCTTGTTTTAACATTCCACAGTACTATCTTATTCCTATTCCTCTACCACTGCCAAGTTTGAGTATTTTTGGCAAGAGGTAGGTCTTATGACCAGCCAAGCTGGCCTATAAATATCCTTAACTAGCCTCACATGCCACAGTGTCCATTATGCAACATCAAAAATCATTGATACAATCTGTCTTTATCTTAAAGAGTTACTAAAATATAGAATACCTTCAAATGCTCAGTTTTAACAGAATATTTAACACGTGCAAAGTTTTCAACAAGTATTTTCCAGAATGTTAGCACAATTGTGTCACAAACTTTGTTATAACAAAGAAATGTAATGTTAGGTTTTATTCCAAAAGAGTAAGTTAAACGTCTTGTGACTGCTATATGAAACCATTCCATGTTATCTGTTTGTATCACATTATATTTTTGATAACATGCTGTAAAGGAAGGCAGTGTTCTGCATTTCAGTTCTTTCTATAGCATCTTTTGTTAAGTTTTAACTGCTGAATAAAATATAAGTTATCAGGAAACGCTTTAGAATTATAAAATAATGCACATCTGATTCAGATAGATTAGTTTGTTATACAGATGTAAAATCCCAGTTAATCAGTTAACAGGTTAAACCCTAGATTTAACTGGTTAATTTATAAAGCAGGATCCCAGTCCCGCCACCCTCCTTCACTTGGAGCTGCCGACCTCCCCCGGTCACATCCCTAGTTTGTTAAGGAAAGAACTAAAAAAAAATTAAGTCAAAATTGCTAAATTGGGCAATATAGTATGGGAAGGAGGAGGTGGGCAGGCCTTAGTGGAAAAAGAACAGATTAAGATGCAATACATCTGAGTGTGCTGAAGGAGTTGGCTGATGTGATTGCCAAGCCATTGGCCATTATCTTTGAAAACTCATGGTGATCATCAGAGGAGATCCCGTACAGCTGGAAAAAGGCAAAATGTAGTGTCCATCTTTAAAAAAAGGAAGAAGGAGAATCACCCCATTCCCCGGAAAAATCATGGAGGGAATCCTCAAGGAATCCATTTTCAAGCGCTTGGAAAAGAGCAAAGTGATCAGGAATAGCAAACACAGATTCACCCTGGGCAAGTTATACCTGACCAATCTGATTGCCTTCTGTGATGAGATAACTGGCTCTGTGGATATGGGGAAGGTGGTGGAAGTGACATACCCAGACTTTAGCAAAGCTTTTGATATGGTCTCCCACAGTATTCTTGCCAGCAAGTTAAATGAGTATGGACTGGATAAATGGACTCTAAGGTGATAAAAAGCTGGCTAAATCGTCTGGTTCAACAAGTAGTGATCATTGGCTCAATGTCTGGTTCGCAGTTGTTGTCAAGTGGAGTGTCCCACAGGTCAGTGCTGGGGCTGTTCCCCCCAACATCTTTATTAATGACCTGGTTGAAGGGATGGATTGCACCTTTGGCAAGTTTGTGGATGACACTAAGCTAAGGGGAAGAGGTAGATACTTTGGAAGATAGGGATGGGATCCACAGTGACCTAGACAAATTGGAGGATTGGGCCAAAAGAAATCTGATGAGGTTCAACAAGGACAAGTGCAGAGCCCTGCACTTGGGACAGAAGAATCCCAAGCATTGTTACAGGATGGGGACTAACTGGCTAAGCGGCAGTTATGTAGCAAAAGACCTGGGGATTACAGTGGATGAGAAGCTGGATATGAGTCAACAGTCTGTCCTTGTAGCCAAAAAGGATAATGGCATATTGGGGTGTATTAGTAGGAGCATTGCCAGTAGATCTAAGGAAGTGATTATTCCCCTTTATTTAGCAATGGTGAGGCCACATCTGGCATACTGCATCCAATTCTGGGCCTATCATTACAGAAGGGATGTGGACACATTAGAGAGTATCCAGCAGAGGGCACCTAAAACAATTAGGGGGCTGGAGCACATGACTTATGAGGAAAGGCTGAGGGATTTGGACTTATGTACTCTACAGAAGAGAAGGGTAAGGGGAGAGTTGATAGCAGCCTTCAACTACATGAAGGGGGTTTCAAAGAGGATGGAGAGAAGCTGTTCTCAGTGGTGACAGATGACAGAACAAAGAACCGAGTGGGGGAAGTCTAAATTTTTCCTAACATCCAAACATTTCACTAGGCGGGTAGTGAAGTACTGGAATTGGTTACCTAGGGAGGTGGTGGACTCTCCATCCATAGATGTTTTTAAGACCAAGCTTGACAAAACGCGGACTGGAATGATTTAGTTAGGATTGGTCCTGCTTTAAGCAAGGGGTTGGACTCTATGACCTCCTGAGGTCTCTTCCAACCCTATAATTCTGCAAACTTTAGCCAAAATGCAGCCTATAGAAAAGGTAACATCATTCTGTGCTCAATACTTTTTTTTTTTTTTTTTTTTTTATATAAACTTTTGGCCTTCAGTTCAAGGTTTAGCCAATAACTGCACCTAAGTTTAGGTAAGTAGAAGGGCCCATTATTATATGCAGGTTTTTTTTAACTGCCTGCTAAACCTATTAAAGAGTTCAGACAATGAGAAAGCTATGGACATATATACAATTTATTTAATTTTATGGTAATTAGCCATAGCTCTCAGGCCCCAGTAAGTTGCCAATGCCTTCTTAAACTAGGCAAAGTTTGGGCACAGATGCGCTAGTCATAAATTAATTTTAAGAACAAAATCTCAACTAGGAAATAGGAGG